TGCTATTGATTATCATAAGAAATAAATCGCGGTTTCTACTGATAATAAGACTTTACATCGTATTTATTTAAAAGCTGTTATTATATTCTTTAAAATATTTTAAATGGAAGTACACAACTGAATACATGATATACATGATATGTTTATTTTTATAGTTGAAAGTCCGTAAAACCATTTGCCCAAAAACCAGGTCAAGTCAACTAGTCGATATACCCGAAGTTTGTGACAGAAAATGTCTCCGAGACATCCGTGCTCCGATTTCGCAATGGATGCCATCGACAGCGTCATCGCGCCATGGAATTAGCCTTACCGTTTTGATTATGCTTGCCGAATTAGATAATTTCGAGTGTGAGCCATATCCATAAATGTTTTATTTTTGGCCGGTGTTTTTCGATTTTCGGCTTGCTAGATGCATATTAGCGCTCCAAGGAAAGTGAAAGTGATGCGGCCGATTCGGGGTCCGAATCGTGCATTTATAATTTGTACCTCCAGCAGCGGTTGCCAGGTGCGCCGGCTCGGTGGTTATGCTAATGGGCGTGGCAGGTTTTTCAGCTAAATGATTACAGCACCGACCGCTAATTTGTGTCTGTCCGTCTGATCTGACCTTTCCCTGCGCCCCGGGGGTTAAAGCCGCTGTTCCCATGACAGGGCAGCCAGGCCAACTCCCCATAACTTAAAGCAGTCATAAGTGAGTAACAGTGAGCTTGCATCTCTCTATGCAATGAAGCCGCTGGAGGATCGGGCATTACGACTACTATGTGTCGTAAACCTCATCCCGGGAAAATTCTCACATTTACAAGGCAATAAAAAGCTAAAAGAAAGTCAATTACCACTGTATTTGAGTGCCACCCGCAGATGAAAAGCTCTGATGTTTATGGAGTTGTTAAAGTGTGTTTGTGTGAAAATTAAATGTTGTCAATTGCGTTGTTAAGTACTCGTTTAAATATGCTTAATGGCCCGATGAGTCATTGAACTGTGGGGATTAATGTAGTTAGATTAAATCAATTTCTTTCTGAAAGGAACAATAAGATTTTGTGTAAAATTGGCAAAGGTATAGTCAAAAAAAATGTATTAGTAAATCAATCCCTCATATTTGTATATATAATTATTCTGATTATAATTTAACATAATGAATCAAACAATTCTAAAGGCTAAATAAGGTTAAACAACTAAAATTAAATTGAGAATGTAGTACAAATAAAGTTAATAATAAGTTAAGTAATTTAAAGTATTTTTTTGCAAGAGCAACTAAGCCTCGTCATCTAAGGAATACACAACTCGTCTCATCTCTTGGTTTTTCAGGTTTTTTTTTTTTTGAACTGGGCCAAAGAAATGACGCCCAGTTGGCTCTTTGTTGCCGCTCTGTATGTTGAAAATAAAGATATTAAGTGGCAGTTGCAGTTTGTTTTGCGTTTTCTCTCCATGATTGAATGCAGTGCCATCAGTACTATCATTGACATTGTGGGAGTCTGTTGGCATTTTTTGTTTCGGTGTATGTCAACACCCACCCGACGGTAATGGCAACGGTAATGGCAATGGTAATGGCCAAGGCAATGGGAATGGCAATTGGGAGTGCTAGGTCCGGCACTCACTTCGTCATCCGTTCAGTCGTTCATTCATGCAGTTTTTGAGCTGGCATTTTCCAGCTGCAGCACTGCACGCGCCGCAGTGAATGTTGTTGTCTATAATGGAAAAGGAAAATTTAACCTGAACTTTCTTTTTTTGTGTACTGCTGCAGTGTCAGCCACAATGGCAACTGCGATATAAATAAAATATAAGTACATATATATATATATATATATATATATGTATATGCATGCTCCGCTCCGCTCTGCCACAGATTTCGGCGTTTAAGGTCTGTGGATGAAACCTGTTGGGCGGTTATGAGTTTTACTTTTTATTTTAAGCAGACGAAAGCAAAAAGCAACCTGTTGATATGGCCCGCCACAACAATAGAACAGAAAACAGTTCACAGGCCTTATCCAATCCCGATGCACTCTTGGTTTCAGCCTGAGAGGCTGGCTCTTTGTGATGGCCATTCATATGGGCGGGCATTCGGATTCGAGGTCTGCGGGGCCAAAGCAGTGAAAGTGTCGTTTCTCATGTCTCTTCTGCTTGGCAGAAACTCCCAACTCCCAAAGCGGGGAATATTCAAAATTAATTAAATGTCAAATAATTCAACATTCGGCGCCTGAGCAGATTTGCATCCCTACATGCACTGGTAGAAAAAATATGGAAACAGATGCTAATGCCACTGACATCAAAAGGAATAAGGGGTATTTGTACATTTTTTCCAGTGTTAAAATTTAAATTTTAAAATAAACTTTTTTTTATTTTAGAAGAATAAATTTTTGTATCAAAAGACCAAATGGTAAAACAAAATTATGGGCGAATAATTGCTCATTTTATAGAATTCTTAGTTCTATTAAGAAAACTCACTTAAACATTTAGTACGCGATTTCAATAAATATGTTTAGTATTACACCAAAAATCTTAACTGGTGGTTCATGAATTTTAAACTATTGTGACTTAAGAACAATGCCTTAGACTACAGTTTTAGACTCTTCGGTATATGAATGAAATTAAAAATTATAGGGTCTATGTTATTTACTATTGAATTAATACGCACACTTTAATACTATCTGTAGTTTTTTGTTAAGACACACTTCTTTAAACTACACCCAAATTTTTTTTGGGTATAGTAATATTATGTGTTTGATTTCCATTGTTTCTATAAAAAAGTTTATTTTTTCACTATTTAACACCTTTTTATCCTAAAACAAATTACATAGATTTTTAATACATTTCAAGTTTTATCATTAAGTTGAATAAACTGTTTTACACTGGCAATTTTTACGCAAAAAAAATGTAGGAAAAAAAACATTGTTTTCCATTTGTTTTTTTTTTTAAGTTTTCTGCGTTGAATTTTTCTTTCCGTGAACTGCAGTCAAAGATTCACGCATTGCGTGGCGGTTCCCTGCCGACAGATGCATACGAAATTCGCTTTCACTGGGAAAAGACGGCTTGAGCTGAGCTTTGGCTGATCTGGAAAAGCGTTTTCACACCGCTCGGCCGCCGCTGCTGGGGCCCAATTCATAAGCGCATTTTCGTTGCATTTTCACACATTCATAACACTTTAATTAACTATTTTCAACACTTTCGTGGGGTCTGTGGCACTCGCATCCTGCTCGCGGTCATTTGCCGAGATCCGAGATTCGAGCTCCGAGGGGAGCGATCCACTCGCATTTCGCCAAACTCTCTAGCCCGGGGATGCTATGATGATGATGACTTTCATTTGCCTGGGCTCCTGGTCACTGTCTATTTGCGTACTTTTACTTGTCCCAGCCAGTTAGTTAGTCACTTTGGCCAGTTACTTGGTTAGTTTGGGACAGCTGTGGGTCGAGCTACTGGTGTTTGCCGTCGATAACTCAGCCTGCTGGACGCCACTGGTGTCTTTGGCCAGTTGGCCATGGCTGCTGTTTGTTTTGGCCGCATCTTATTTGACAACGCATAAAATTTGCACATCCATCGCGAAGAAGGGCAGACCCCGCATACCACACATTTCTTGCAGATGTATCCGCGACTTTCCCTTTTCTGAATGGGGTTATGATTATTATTATTGGCCTGTCACTGCTATTCGTGTCTGGCCGCTGCCTTGGTTTTGGCATAGATATTCTGCCCTCAGAACGTGATCGGTTTTTATTCAGAATATCTAATGACCACACACAGAGAAAAATGAAGAGCGATATGAATTTGTCACTGTCATCTTTGCTTACACTTGACATTTTTTAGCAAGTTCAGAAATCTAACCTGTTCCTTGTACGAAATGGTTCGATGAATAATATTGAAAATCATCATTGGTTTTTATAATAAATAATCAATTTCATAGGTGCAGAAATATGGGATACAAAAATGAAACTGTTATATAAAATTAATTTAAATAAATTAATAAGAATGTTTTATAAGTTATCCATAAATTATTATCTTCCGGCTTCTTGTTTTGTATAAATGGCATTGATTTGGTTCCAGTCATAAATTAAAGAAATATATATTTTGTTTCAATTTAAACATTTGTTTAAAATCATATTTTTAAATGCAAAGTATTTTACTAGATGACAATAGGTAAAAAATGTTTGTAGAAAAATACTATTTAAAAGTCTATTTATTTGGGAGGCTAATAATAAATAGTATTTAACTGTTGTATTCTATTGTAGATAAACAAGCAATTTGTTTTGGCCTTTAAAATGGAAACCAAATACATTAAAAATTCAACTTTAAATTAAGGTTTTGTTGAAATCAAGATACAAGATGGAAAACTAATAAGACGTTTTTTTCTAAGTACATTTACTCTACAATTAAATTCTCCGTTTTTCGAATAATAGTCATTTGTATATGCAAAACCACCGTTCTATTCACCTAAGCCATTCGCTCCAAGCGCTCGACTGCGCTTGAAAGGGAAATGCTTTTACTTACTTTTACAAAAACTCATTTTCAATTAATGCCCAGACAATTAAGATTACGACTGCGATTTTCGGCACTTTTTGGACCGCTCTCCACCGCGGTGGGTAAAAGTTAAGTAGCTGCCAGTGGTTGTTGTTTTTGGTTGTTTCACTGGCTTCGGTTTCCCATCGGCAGGAGGCTGCGACTGTTGACAATGTTACATGAACTTCGGGCGAAAGCAGCGCAGCGGCAGTGGCATCGGCAGCGGCAGCGACAGCTTACAAATTACAGTAACAATACTTTTCCAGCTGCTGCTATTGCTGCTGTTGTTGCTGCTGCAGCGCTAGCGACGTCGCAGCCGACGCTGACTGCGCATTACCGTTGGCCGGCCAAACGAAAGACTTAGGCGAGAAACTTGCACGACTAGTTTGGGGGAATTGCTGTTGGGGGGCCAGGGGTGGGGTGGGGCGGAGAAATGCTTTCGCAGCAGATGAGCATGCCGATGCCGAAGTCGCTGCCACTGCCGCCGTATATAAGTTGTCGTGTGCGGTGGAAAATTGTATCATTCAATCCTTAAACGTCTGAGCAGCTACACGGCAGCAGCAGTGAGCCAAGACCGAAAAACACACAAAAAATACAGTTTTCCCATCCAAGAGAAAGTGCGTTCGCCGCCGAACTACGTGAAAGTGTAGTGTGGATCCGTAAAGGACTATCGCAAAGAACCCCGAATCGAAAACCGTGCAAGAACAACAGCAAACAAAAACCACCAAAATCGAAAAATGGCAAGCCATAAAGTTACTTTCGGTGTCTTGTGTCTGGTCGCCCTGAGCGCCGCCCTTCCTGCCGAGGAGACGCGCGGCCACGCCCGCAACGCCATCGGCGGCGAGAACGACATTATGGATAGCATCTACAGCGACTGTCTGCGCAAGGACAGTGTGTCGTGCGTGAAGTACAAGCTGTTCAGCTTCGTGGACAAGGTGCTGGGCGCCCGCGACCAGTTCGCCCTGACCGAAGGCGTGACCGTTGTCCGCTCGCCGGACGCCCCCAGCAGGAGGCGGCCCGCTCCATCTCCGGCGACGAGTCGTTCGAGTCCCTGGCCCTGAACCGCATCAGCAGCTTCCTCAACTCGCACACCATCAAGGTGGAGCTGAAGGGTGCCGACATTGTGCAGGCGGTCAGCTCGACGGGCCGTGCTCTGGAGGACGCCTCTGAGTCGCTGTTCGGCTCCAACGATCCCAACGCCCCCGAGGAGAGCCGCGGCAAGAAGAAGAAGGCCGCCAAAATTCTGGGCCCCATCCTGGCCCTGGTCGCCCTGAAGGCCGCCGCCCTGCTGCCCCTGCTGTTGGGCGCCATCGCCCTGATCGCCGGCAAGGCCCTGCTGATTGGTAAGATCGCTCTCGTCCTCTCCGCCGTGATCGGCCTGAAGAAGCTGCTGTCGCAGGAGAAGCACGTGACCTACGAGGTGGTGGCCCACCCACACCACAGCAGCAGCCACTCGACGAGCCACGACTCGTATGGCAGCGGCTACAGCGCCGACGCCGGAGCCTCATCGGCCTCGTACGGCAGCAGTGGACACGGCGGCTGGGGCCGCTCCATCGATGCCCAGGACCTGGCCTACGGTGCCCAGAAGCCCGTGCAGGCTTAAGTCACAGCATCGACAACGACATCGACACCGTCACACAAAACTCACTCAAGAAGAAGAATCAGAATCGCGAAAACAGACGAATCGACGGCTTGACGACTCTGGAAGAGGAACACACATTATTTATCGTTCGTTTTAATTAATTTATTAATTTAATTTATCTTATTTATTTCTCCAAGCAATGAAAACGAAAAAGAATGAACCACAAGCACACGCATTATACATAATGTTAAACCGGACAGAAACCAGAATATCACAACCATATATGTTAGTTGTTAAAACTGATGAAGCTAAAGTTAAGTTTGTAAAAAGAGCGGCCAGCGAGAGTTACCCCACAAGTTGCAAATACTCAGCCTTAAGTCTAAGCTCGCACAGCACTGCCCCGAACCATCAGACACTGCATCCATATCTAATGCACCCTCATCTCTCAGTCTCTATATCTATATCTAATCTGCATCTGCATCTGCATCTGCATCTATTTCTATCCATCTCTCTGTATCTATCGCTATAACTGTATAACTGCCTATACCAAAACTCTATCGATTGCCATGCAATCGGAGCAACGTACAAATCTTAACTCTACAACCTATATCTGTACTCTATACTGTATACTCTGTTCTTCACATGCAAATCTAGTCTTACAATACAACAACAACACCAGCAATAAGCATGCCTACTATTAGCTTTAACTCCACTAGCTCTACCTCTACCTCTAACTCTACTCTATCTATCATATCTCCACCTGACTTCCTCAATCTTTCTGAACTGTGCTTCATTTCTCGCCTTCAACTGAGTCATAGTTTTGGTCATTCGCATGCCATTACTTGCCATAGGTCTCCGAACACACGTACGCCACACCAAACTGAACTCATTTTCCGGCTCTGATCTACCTTAGAGCCACTATTTCCTCACTCGACAGTCGACAGTCGACATTCGACACTCGACTTCCACTTCGACTCTTCAACTTTCTCATTTCTCCTATCTGCCATCTCTTTCGCCGTCTCTGCATCTGTCACTTTCTAGCGCTCTACTTTCCCAAAAAAAAACAGACCCACTACTCTGCTCACACATGCACACGCCACGCCCAGCTCCCTAACATTAGTGAGAATATTTTTTTTCAATATTTTAACTCCTTAAGCGTACTTTGTGCATCCGTGCGACTCGAACCGCTTGTCGGCCCGATTGGTGTCGGGCTCGCCTGCGCTGTGGATCTAAACAGATTTTTAATTATCAACTTAAAAATACCTTGTTTGTGACATTTGGAGGGCTCTCTGGCCAGCGGGCGCAAGTTTCGAGTCGCCAGCACGTCGTCTACTTTAATTTAAATATTTTAAGCAAAGTCGTACGGCGCTTTCACAACTATAACTCCGGCCACAGTAGTAAGATGATGTTGATGATGATCATGATGATGTTGATGATTATGATGATGATAATGATGTTGACGAAGAAGAAGCGTGAAGCTGCAGATGTGGGCAACTCACAAAGATCACAAAACTCACTCACAAAAGAATGTAAATTCCATAGATTACAATACCCCCTATCTCTCTGTCACATATGCATGTCATTAACGAAAAAAAAAAATGATGAAAAACAATACACAAAAAAACGTTGAAAAAAACACAAGACACAACAACAAGCAAGGAAGATTAATAAATAAAAAATCAATGAAAAATCAAGACAAGTCTCTATAATTTATGGCATACCATGGGGTGAAAGCGAAACGACAAAACCGAAAGCTTTATGCATAATTCCAAAACGACAACAAAAACTGGCCGTTGACAAGTCCATCTTGGGTCGAAATGCTTTCATTTCATTTCGTTTCGATTCGTTTCAAGTGAAATTGATTTGCGACCCAGTTGCCCCAGCGAATTTCAAAGATTTGCCCGTTAATAGGTGTAAATAATTATGAGTCGGGTCTGGCCGAGACAGGTTAACGAAAACCCAATACAACCCCGCTGGCTTCCGAAGGCAAAGACAACGGCAACGGCAACGGCAACGGCAACAGCAACATGAGCCACCGACAGTGAAAGTAAACAGTTAGGAAACCCAAACAGCAGCTCAAACCACGAGCCCCGAACAACCGCGATTGCAGTGAAAAGTCTTAGAAATTGTGGCACATGGCCAAGACCAAAAAAGCGTTTTCCAAGCCGCTCTAAATGCGGCCGCTGCTGCTGACCAACGAATGCCCGGGCGAAAACAAAAGACAGGTTAATGCGCATTAATGTTAACAACTCATTTGAGCAGCTGCCAAGCTTGAGCAAACATTGACTGACCACTGTCAGTGTTTTCGTGGCCAATGCCGCTCACTTAATCAAAAGGAAATTACGAAAATTTTAGGCTACGGCTACGCTCGGTTGGAAATTATCTCAAAGAGACCGCTTGGTGCCACCAAATGTCAGTCGGGATTTAAGAAATACCCATTTAGGAGATTTACATGGGATTATACAGGCTTTTTAGCTTTGGGTTGTTTTCGTTTTAATATTCGGACGGAGAGTGGCACTTGCCGGAGAAATTTATAATGGGTAAGTACAAAAGACAATTAAATTGTCGAAAAACCACATAAACAGAGGGGGGAAACTTATTATTACTCATTTTAACACGCTTAAAGTTACATTTTAAAGCCCCAGACAGTTGATTTTGTCTTTAGGTACAGTCAATTTGTAATAATATTCATAGCAGTTACTTTCTTCCTCTTAAGGATTTTGTTTTAAAAGCATTGGGTTATTTAAAATTAATTTTCAGCAAACAGGAACAAAACAATATACCTTTTAAGCCATACCCATTTGACTTTATTCAGCCGCTTGTCCCACAAAGTCCACAACCGTTTAACGAAATTGTTAACGTTCTTCGGCTACTATCCAGCCTATATTCGATTCTGATAAATTTCGTTAACTGCTGCTGCTAAACATGGTAGTATATGCAAATCGAGTAACCAAAACGAAAGCCCCACTCAGTGATTTGGAGCGAGCAACGGTTGTGGCCGCTAGAGAAATGGCGCCTTGGCGGCAGCCAAACTGGTGCGGCATCGGCATCAGCAACAGCATCACCTGAGCACTGAACTGTGCTGCACCACCAGCTGCCTCGCCACCAATTTCACATTCTGAAAAACCAGGTAAGAAACCACAAAATTTGCAATAATTCATAAGAAGAGGTAAGGAGAGCTGCGAAGGAGAATCGTGCAGAGTGGGCCAATTTGTGACCAATTTCACTGTCAACTGGGGGAGGGACTGTGGTGAGGGACTATGGGGCGATGGGGGGATGCCTGCAAGGGCGTCGTCGCAGCGTGTGCAGAATGTTCAGCGAAATGAAAACGAGTTTGGGCCCCGAAAGCAGGTCAGCAGAACGTAGACAACAACCAGGGGCGGTCCCGAAGCCAAAGTTGATTGTTGGCCTTGCAGCACTGCGCTTTCCAGCAAGAATACGGCAAAACGACTGCCAGAAACCTGAAAAAAAATTCAGCAAAAAGTAAAATAAGCGAAATGAAGAGCCAAAATGCCTGCCTGACTAATAATATTATTAGGCGCTCGGCATTACCGCCACTGCCATCATCATTTTCCGCTCCAGCACGTTTTTCCCACACTCGTCACTCGACAGACAAAAACACGCATCTGAATTTATGATTACACCAATTGTTGGCGCAGTTTTGCTCACCGGCCATTAAACCAACTGAGCGCATTTACCAGCTCTCATTGCTTTTGATTTTGATTAATTGAAAGTTAATTGGCCACGAGCCCCGCCAAGCCGTGAAACAGTTTTGGTCACTCGAGCGTTTTCCCGACACGCTTGATTTGCTGCCGCTTCTACTGCCGGTGCGGTGTTAGTGGTCAATTTAAATTACTCTGCGCAGTAAGCAACAATCGCTCGTAATTATCGAACGGCAGTTGCATTGCCGCCTCAGCGGTTATGTTGCCATTGCGTGTGGACTTTGATTAGCGGCTCAATTTGCATTGCAGGTGAAGAACGCCTAATTGCGATTATCGCTATGTTGCCAAGCGATTAAGCGGTTGAGTGCATTTGTGTTCTGCAATTGCTTTGACTTAGGTTCAACATTTAGGACTCTTGATTTAATTTATTGCCAGAAAACTTTTAACGAATTCCTAACGGCCAAAGTATAAGACGTTTTCGAAAATAACTATTTTTATAAATAGCTGTTTGCAGTTAATTTTAGAAAATAATGCTAAGTCCGACAAGCCGAATGACAACATGTTTTCAACTGAAAATGCAAATTGAATATATGTATGTGTCCACAAAGATTTCCTTAAGCTGACTTGTTGTTTCTATGGCAACATTAACACTATGTTTACTTGGGTGCTGCTAGAATGCGTGGAAGCGGAGAGACGAACATGTCTAGATCGAATAAGATACAAATAAAAGAATGCTCTTAAATGTCTGCTACTTTTCGATGCAAAATGCAGACTAAAATTATAATACCCTCCATAAGGATACTTTACTTTATATAAATTGAGAAAGGATTATACTAAAATCTTTCGCTTGCAAGGTTTCGAAAATAGTTGTCTTTACTCCAAAAACAATTACAAAGTTAAAAACAAGATTTTAAGCTAATTCCATTTGAAATCGCAATAAAAACAAGCCATCAAATACTTAAAGTTTAAAGTCATGCATATCTTACTTTCTTTTGTAATTTAGCAAGGCGCGTTTAAATGTTAAAATGGCTAAGTTTTCGAACATTATGGCGTTGTTTTATTTTAATAATCGTTTTCTTTTAAATAATAAACATTTTTAATCCATTTTCCAACCATAATAATACCCTAAAACAAAGTTTTAAAAAAGAACTAAATAAAGAGTTCATCGAGTTATTCCACTGAAAGCATACAACATTTTCATACCCCTTACTCGCGAAGTAAAAGGGTGTATTGTATTCGTTTAAAAATATGTCTCTAAATAGTATATAGATTCTTGATCAAGATCAATAGCCGAGTCGTTCTAGACATGTCGAGATCTCGGAAGTTATTAAAGCTAGATCCTTGTTTGCCCGAGCAGGGCAAGTTTATTTCAAAATGGGGGTAGATGGCCCCACCTAAAACGCGATTATTTTAAGGGTGCGTGTCTATTATTTTGAAATTTAATAATTATTATTTACAATTTAATAATTGTATACCTTTGGTATTATAAAATTCAAGATAACTTTCGCTGTAAAACAGCATTTTTAATTCATCAGTGATGCTAGTCTAGCTACAACAATGTACTGGGACCTATATTACATTATAAGCATATAATTATAAATTTGTAGTATAAACTCAATAGTATTAGTGAAATTTTGCACGCCCAGCACTTCTCAAAAGTGGTCAATAGGCAAACCGCAAAATGGTCAAACTAAAGTAAGTTTTTCGCAATATTTTTAATCCCAACGCCTTTTCCGCGAGTGAAAAGTGTTGTCGTGGGTGCCCGTGTATAGTCTTTTTCATGACACGTTTTTTACCCATGTGGAAAACCGAGTGCTGCCAGACCGTCAAACAAAACATTCGGAGTTTTTCCTGAATATCTTTGTTTTTCTGTTATTTTTGGTGTAGATTTTCTTAAGTGCCAAAGTGCCTCCTGACCAAAATCAGACCCTCGAGACCTCCAGCGTTGCCAGCGTTCTTGACTTCTCATCGCTACTTGCAGATTTTTTCAATTATGGATCGCGCCATCTATTGGCCATTTCGAAAAACCAAATAAGGTAAGATTTTTTGCTTTTCACGACTTTCGTTGAGTTCGTGTCTTAACTCTTTCGTATCAAGAGTCCCACTTTTTTCCGTCGACAGCGAAAAGTAGGCAACAGAAAATTACATTTGTCCATGTGCATAAGAAAAAGAAAAGTTTTGGCCAAATTGGGTGACGACAGTGAATTTGCCCCCAAAGACTAGAAAAAAAAACCGAAAATGCATATGTTCATGGTCTAGTAAGTCGGGTGCAAAGACAGAGGAGAATGGCAAATGCCAACGGCACGAGCTCAATAGCTTAGAACGAACTGAAAAGTGGGGATATAATTGTAAACGAAACTGCATTTCGGCAGCTTTCGCAGCGAAATCACGAAAGCGCAGCTCCACTGGCCAACAGCATCTGGCTAATTGCCGTGATATTTAGACTAAGACAAAGCGTGTGTTTTTGTGTTTTTCAATTTCAGGCAGCCAGCCGACATGCGATTTGGCCGGCTCAGGTATAAAATGCATAAGATCCACCGGCCAGCACTCAGTTGAGCAACCAAAGAGCAGCGCCCGGCGTCTTCACTCCAGTTTATGCCTCATCCCAAGGATCGGCCAAGGATCCTCTTCTCGTCCAGCATCGAACAGCAACATCCAGCCCAGTCATGATCAAGTACGTGTGGCATGTGGCGGCCCTGATGATCGTCTTCTGTTGGCTCTCGAGTGCCCGCAGTGCCAGCTACCAGCACCAGAACCAGAACCCAAACAGCCTCAGTTCGGGTCCCAAGCCTCAGGCCAGTAGCCCCGTCCTGGGATCCACGGGCTTCTGGAAGGACATGTCGATGGTTTACCGCATCTACCAGCAGTGCACGGGCGACAATATGTCCGTTTGCCTCAAGGTCAAGCTGCTAACTGGCCTGGAAAAGGCCTTCCGTTCGGCCAAGACTTTGCCGCTGACGGAGGGCATTCAGTTCGTAAGTTCCGGTGCAGCGAGTGAGGATCCAAAACGAGCTCCCATCAACGAGCAGGACATTGAAGCCGTCTTGCCCAGAAGCGTCGACGCCAAGGAGCAGGTGCTGAACAACATGATCCTGAAGCGGGTGGGCAACTTTCTACAGGACCACACTCTGCAGGTGAGAATGGATAGAAACTTAGCTAAAAACATGAACAAAATATCAAAAGCAGAGGAAACCAAAGTGTTCAGATCAACTAGGATGAAAAGCTGTAAAACTTAACTAAGTACTATACAAAAAATTTAAAATATGGTGGTTCGTTCCATAATAAATTGTGAAAAAGTCTTAATTTTAAAAAAAAATATTAACAATTTTTAGTGAAACATTTTAAATGCAACTACTTCTTTAATTAAATAACACATTTTATTATAAATAATTATTTAATTTAATTTTTGAAAAAATTATAACGACCTTGGTGAATTATTCATCTAAAATAAAAACGAAAATAAGCATCTAACATTACACATAGGCTCTCCTACTTCTTTAATTTAATAACACGTTTCATTATTATAAAATGTTTTTACAAATACTCAACATATAAATACCATTTTTTTGTCTTTTATTAATTAAATAATATTTATTTTATATATGTCTGTATATCATTGTTCGATACCCCTATCCAATTATTGATGTTATTAGACATTTTGTGGGCACCCATTTAGCACAAAACTCTTTCTATTTTAAAACTTATACTAACTTGTCATTTTTTCTCAGGTTAAATTTGACTCCGAGGCAAATTCGGTGGAGGGTCGCAAGAAGAAGGAGAAGAAGGGTAACGGCGCCATGATCATGATTCCCCTGCTGCTGGGCGGCACCATTGTGCCCCTGGCCTACGGAGCCCTGGCCATGCTGGCGGGCAAGGCGCTGATCGTGTCCAAGCTGGCCCTGGTCCTGGCCTCGATCATCGGCATCAAGAAGCTGCTGAGTGGGGGCGGCGGCGGCAAGGAGTCCTCCCACGAGGTGGTCGTCTCCTCGGGCGGCCATTCCGGCTGGGGCCGGGAACTGGACACCGCCTACAGTGGCTGGAAGCCGGCAGCCAAGGAGTCGGCGGGCAGCGCCAAGAGCCTGTGAGCTCGCATTTGCATTTGGGAAACGGAGAAGTGGAAGGAGATGCTGGAGAAGATGAGAGATTCGAGAGGGATTGTGGAGAGTGAACCAAAGAATCGAGCGCCGCACGAACTGTCTGACTAATGTCTAGTTTAATTTGCCTAATCGATCATTAATTTAACGAACTAAATGTGTGTGTTAGGTTTAAGTAAGCGTTAATTAAATATAGTAAATTCTGCTACCCGAAAACCGTATGAGGAGCATTTCTTTTATGTGTCACGGACGCTCCCTAAAAATGAATTTATAATAACAATTACAGTTTCATTGAAACGAGCTTACGTGCGTGCCAAAAATGGCAGACGAAGCTGCTTCGCTTTCTACCAAACTCAACTACCTACAACTGCGGTCGAAATAATAGTGGCATCTTCGTGAATTTTAAATTGAAGACTACCGTAAATTGAATGTAGTTTTTGTAGTATTTAAGAAATATTTGAGCACTCACACAAGTTATGTAAGTAAGTTATTAAAGCAAGAACACAAATTTTTTAAAAATAAAACTATACAATTTATAGTTATTTATTTTAACATTTTGTATATTTATTTTCCAAGTTGCAAGTATCTGGAACAAGAGCAAACGATATTCCTATAGCAAATCGACAATTTTATTATATTCTAATCAAAGTTTTTTTTTTTAGGCTATTGCTTATTGTTCTAGCGACCTTATACATAAATTTAACGTATGCCTACTCCTCAAGCATTTACTTACTGAGCTTGTAACAAATATGAAGTATCCTTCATACCTTTAAATTGAAAAAATTGTTAATAAATTTGACATCACTTTATTAAATTTTCTTTCAGGTTCCACAATGCTGTGTTTTCCCAATGCAATATTCATAGATAAAACTGCCTCGACGATTTGCTATCTCCTCCACAGACCATTGTTGCGGCTGCCTACGTTGGTATGCGACAATTTCACTTTTGGGCCAGTGCGCAAAATAATAATGAGCTGCTCAGTGTAGAACATTGAACCTGGCTAACGACATTCCCAGGCCCCTCGGCCATTTAGTTGTGGGTGCCCTTTGCCGGCGCACTACTGACGTCATGGGCCTGGGACTTTCATTAATTGAGAATTACCCAAGCGCACCAGGGCAGCGGCATGTAAACAACGCCGGAGCTGTAAACTAAAGCCGGAGCTGAGCCACCACCCGGAATTCCATTCCAGCCAAGCGGAATGAAAGTGAAACTTTGAAAAGGTGTCAAATTCGAAGATGCCTCTGGGAAGGGTTGGGGTTGAGCGGGTGGGGCCGAAATTGGGGATTGTTTGCCTTGAATGTGCGATGCTTCAAGTTTGGCGTTATCTCTAGAGCGAATATTTCGCATGAAGATTTGGGTCAGTCGGCGAAATGGCCGGAGATGAGCACGAGGGTGGGGCATCAGGAGATGGCTTGCAAATTAATTGAGCACACTCAACGGAAGTGAAGTGAACAGATTTATGGAAAATACTCAGTTCATAAAATCTGGCTAACAAGCCTTGCCATCAAATTAAAATCCTATTACTAATCTCTCTCAAGTGAATTAAAAATAACTTGTGCCTGTTACTATTTGACCATAATTCGAAATCCCAGATTAGTTTAACATTGCATCACACAATGTTTGAAGTGCCATAGTTTAAATTGTATAAAATGTAAGCAATGAAATTACTTTTTCACTTTCATTGCACACGCACAAACTTAACATACAATTGAGTTTGGACTTTAGCTACAAATATTTTTTCAACTTTAGAATACTCTTTCTGAGACTTATTGTGTTCAATTTAAAATAAAATTTAAACTAGCAGATATATTTTTGATGGAAAATTAAATAACGCAAACAACTATGTTATTAAATTAAAAGTTGGTAGCAATTTAAAAAAATCAAATAATCATATTTTAATCAATGGATTAAAATTATTAATTTAGATTTTCAGGAGAATAAAGATTTATGAAAATGTTTTCAATGGAACATTTAATATTAAAAAAAATAGCACAACTAAACCGGAAAATTAAATGCTCTCAATATAAAATAGGACTTAAAATATGTTTACTATAAATTGAAAATCATTTTAAAGGAAAAGGTTCAGGTCTTAAAACATTTAATTTGAAGTTGTTAAAGTAAGTTATTGGTTCTTTTTGAAAGGGTATCGCTTCGTGACAGTGGCGGTCACATCCATCATGTCCACGTGCAGGTCATTTACATATTCCATCAACGGATTTTGGGCTCATGTTGCCGCTTTGGATAGTCGTCTACAAAATGTCGAGTGGCTTTGCATCTAGATGCGAGTGTGGTGTTTTATTTTCTATGAGGTTGTTTCGGGCAGCATGCAAATCTGCGGCGCAGCTTTCTTTCGGGGCACTTGTCTAATGCGTAAATTACCGGCAAACGATGGCTGAACATTGGCTGGACGATGGATGGAGCGATGAGGCGATGAGGCCATGAGACGATGAGACGAGAAGCAGCCGCTACGACGTGTGGCAATTTTCGAGTGCTGCAAATTAAAGCGACATAATGCCAATGAAACTCTCGAGTGCGAGTGCTAGTGCGAGTGTGAGACTCTCTGTGCAACTGTCGGCGATCGGATTGGCATACAAAACTGCAGATACATTATGCGAGATGCCCGCTGGAGGCACAAACAAACACATAAATAAAAAGCAAAATTAAAGTGAAATTTCTTCCACCAGCCGCCGCAGCTCCAGCAAACTAGTTAATTTTCTATTTTACTCCAATTCGAGTGGCGGTTGCTTTCGACCATCGACGGCCGTCTTAAATGGCGCTCTTGATTAACCACCCACCGCCCACCCCCGTCGACATTACCTAGGCTTGAGTGTGTGAGTCTGGGTGTGTGTATGTGGCTAACTGCAATTTGAAATGGAACCACTGCAGCACTTTCTGCTGCATCCAAGACTCACTCTGCCCCGAAAGTGTGCCATCATCAGATGGCGCCTCAAAGGTGCCTTGAATTTTATTTTACTTACTTTACTTTATTGTTCTAAGCATTGTTAACCAGACTTTTTATTTCAAAGCACACAGTTAGTCGATATTATTTTAAAATGGTATAAAATATTTTATTGTGGCCACGATGTTCTAAAGGTGGTTAGCCATTGAGAATTAAAAGAATAACGAATGGTAAGAACTCATTTTACAGCCAATTAAATTGCATATGATATGATTTTATGTCCCTTTAAATTATTCACCTTCCAAAATTAATGGGTACTTATTAGTATAAATACCTATTCAAATAACAAAATTGAAAAATTCAATTTTTTCTAGTTAATTAAGTGTTTAACTAAGAGATTATAAAAATACAGTAAAAAGTATAGTATGGTTAGCCTCTTACATGTCATTTAAGTTTACTTAAATAGTAAAAATAATAATTGTATTTGGTCGTTTTACTTGTTTTTTATTATTTTGTATTATTATTTTTTTACTCAAATTCTTTGCCAGAAAGCCAGATAAGGATATTTTAAATGATTTATTTCATTCCTGATTAATTGTTTGTCTGTTTGTTTTTATATATTTCTTTTTTCAATACTTTTTTCCAACTGCCCTAAATTAAAAACTTAATCCAACTAAATTCGATATTTAAATGCTGCCTTATTTATTGTCTGTCCTGCTGTAAGCTTTTGAAGGATTTATTAATGTCGCATTTATCACTTTTTCAAGGGAGGGAAATATTTTTCCATTACTCGGCAAGTGCCCAAACTGCTGGTTTCGCTCAAATTAAATTTGAAAGCTTTTATCCAATTAAACTCAATATTACTTAACTTAAATTATTATTTATTCTGAATGATTTATTAATGCCGTAATTGGCACTTGTAACGAGTACGTGGCTAGGGTGTTGTTGCCTGACGATAAGGACGCACGCGCGATGGTCCAGCTGCTCCTTGTCGGCTATTTGGGGTGGTGATCTTGTCCTTCGTCACGAGCCAGTAAATTCTAAAATTTTATCGAATTTTCGCGTGCAGCGACAAGTGGTATGGGGTAGGAGAAATCATGTGAATCCGCGCCAGCACGAAGAGGGATAGTTATTTTACTCATGGAATTCCTAAAGTTCCTCGGGTGTTCTAATGGAACCAAATTTGCCCTCCCTGCCTTGGCCGTTCTTTACCAAAAACTTCCCATCATACTATCGAACGGCCCCTTCTACTGATTCGGGTTCTAGCGGGGACTCATCCTAGTCGAAGGCAAACAAAAATACAATTTAGCTAATCATTATAAAGTGTATTTAAAATCTAAATAAAATTCTTAAAATTAGAGAACATATTGAAAAGATATTAAATGAGAACATAAATACATGCAATACAATTGAATTATTAAATTAATCTTTGCAGTAAGATAGCAATACGAATTTAAAATCAAAAAAAATATTATTCGAGAGAGAGAATACGGAAATGGCAGAAAATTGCAGTGAAGAGCGCACGGCGAATTCAAATTGAGTGGTTTGTTTTACTTATTTCGAAATTCATCTCACTCAAAAATTCGAGAGACAAGAGAGATGGTAAATCCGCTCCTTTTTTTCCTCTTCTCCTTTATGGACTATTCGAACTGCTAGGTTTTGTACGGTGGGACGCAAAGTAATTCATTTGATATATATATTTTACAAAGACATATTAATAAAACGTGATATCTGACTCACCAACATTCCGGAGATCCACCGACGAAAGCGCTTCCGTAAGTGCACCTTAGGCTGAAAATTTAAATTTCTTTATATACACATTGCAAGCCCACTGTGCAAAACAACAGCAAAATTTTTCTCTTCTTTTTCTTGCTGCAGCTCTTTCCTTCTTTTTTTTTTTTTTTTAACACATTGGCTTGTTTGTCCACCCAAAAAAATTAAAATAAATTATGCCTAAAGCAATTCGTGCTTCTAGTTATTCATTATTAAAGCCTTTCTGGCCTCCTAACCATCACTGCACTTTTCTCTTCTTTCCCTTCTTTTTTTTCTTACTTTTCCACTCTCACTGCTTATTTCACATAACCTAGACCGCAAAAAAAAAAGGAAAAAAACTTATGAAATAGCTTATAAACTATCCACTTTCAGCGAATTCCGACCGATCTTTGGCTTTCCGAACTGCCTTACATTCCGTGCGGCGACTTAACAATTATTCCGCATTGTTGTTCGACGAGTTAAATTAAATTTTTGTCCGAGCGTGGACCGAAACGTCTAAACTAGATCAGCGCGCCGAAAAACTGCCTGCCAAGCTGAACTTCGCTAAGTTGCGCTCGCAGACGGGAGATAACGAAGATGATGAAGAGGGAATATAAATATTATGTGTAATTTGGGCAGGTGTTACATCTCGAGTTCTTTTTGACTCTTTTGCCCTCTCTTAGTCCTAACTCCGCTCCCAGCGACTTAAGCTGATTAAATAATTATCTTAGGGAACTCTTAGGCTTTGAGACCCCTTTATGCGACGATAATTTCCCTTCTCCGTCGGATGACTTCGCTCTTCTTTAGGGGGACTTGATGAATTGTTCCCTCTACAGCAACGGCCGGATCCAATATCGGATACTAAGCGCCAAACCTAAATCAAAAATCACTTTTGGGTCTGCAAACTTCGCAACCATTTCATTTTTTCTTACCCATAAACAGGATTCAGCGCTATATATAATCTGGGAATTCTATCCGTCACTTTACACAAGGCCACTATAGAGATATAATTTTCAAACAAACTTTCACCAACTTATTAAATACGAGACTTACAATTGAACTAAACCGCACTCGATGGCTGCCGAAAAGGGAAAGAAAGCCAGCAGCTCGTGGCTCTGGGCGGGAAGCTAAGTTAGCCCCCCTAGAATAACTCTCCGTTTTCCGGGATCATGACAATTGACGCTGTTGCCTCTTCGTCTCCGAAAATTCTTACCCCAATCGCGGCACCCAACTGACCACTAGATGGCGACACTTTCGGTTTTTGCCTCATAGATGGCACTGCCCATCGATGTGCCTGCCACAAGCGTTACAAATTCCCCCCTCACAAGATCAGACTTGGGGGTGACACACACAAGGCTGACCAAAACTGAGCTTGAGGCAGCTACCTTACTGTTTCATATCCTTAGCATGATATCTACCCATTAATCGTCCCTGCAAGTCTTCCAGATCATAGTAAGCATTTCCCACCTTCTGGCGTGCCATGGCCTTAAGATACCTCGTATTTTAGATGAATTTATTTGTAAATTTAATTTCTTCGACCAAAAAGATTTTTGAACATAATTTGGTACTGAAGATTTGGGATTTTCTATTTCTACAGAAGTATTTTCAATGTCTATTGTTCTGCCTCGGAATTCGTCGGGCGGTGGCGTTGAACACACGGCTGCTGACGAGGCTGTGTGTACCCCTTCGAGTTTTTTTGACACTTACTACACGAAGGTTTGTAAGTGTTCGGCTTTCCACAACTATAGCAGAAAATTCTACGCTTCCCTTCACAATCTTGGTAACGATGCCCTTCTTTGTGGCAATTCCAACAAATCAACGCCAAAGCTCCCACTTCCACTTCGCTTTCGATGTCGGAAAATTCGGCGGCTTCATCTGGCAACTGATCTTCAAGCAGTTCAGCAACTTGCTTCCGGTAAGGAGTTGCCTTTGTATATGCATAATTCCGCCTCACATCCTCCAGAAAAGTTTCCCTTCGCCTACAAATTTCTCTCAATTGCCCCATCGAATTAATTTGGATATGAAGGAGTTCATGTCGTATTTCAGGGCGCAAATTTCTAGCTAGTATTTCTGCCACGGACTTTTCCGAGAGCGGCACTTCTAACCCATCCGTTAATGAGACAATGGCATCATGAAAAGTATCAAAATTTTCCTTCTCTTTTTGTTTTCTATCCCGAATTGCTTCACGGATATCGACATCGGAGCGGGTATCCCTAAATTGTTTTCGAAGAGCTTGGCAGAGAGCTTTCCAATCGAGCCCCTCTCCATTGCAAGATTTATGATATCGCCAATAGAAATCGCGAGCTTTACCATCAAACAACAGGCTAGCGTTGCTAGCTAAAATTTCAAACTTTGAATTTAATGTTTGCTCTGTTAACGCCTCAACTCGATATATAAAATTGTCCACGCTTATGCCATCAAGACTGCCATTGAAACGAATTTTCCAACTATTTAATATTTGGCCCACCCTATCTGGTCTATAAATGGCATCGGATTCTACGCTGACAGGAGTAAATCTGGACTCACTCCGGAATTGATCAAAATTTTCGACTGGCTGTCTCTCTTGATCCGTCCAGTTGGTGTTTGTGCTTGGGTTTGGGGGTGCTAAGGGATTTCCAGGAACCAATGCAGCAATATTAGCTTGTATAATCTGAGCCATTTGCTGAGAAAGTTGAGTGAGTAAATCATTTTTCATCCCCTGGACCGCTTGAGTCACTAAATTCCCTATGTCTACCTCAGCGCGATTTTCGCCGGTTTTCCCAGAGGGGGCTGGCGAATTGACAATCGTTTTACCACTCGGTGGGAGTTGAAAACAAATGATTCCGCAAATCGGACATTCTCTATGAGTCTTCGAATGACTAGTTATGCAAGTCTTATGGAAGTCATGACCGCATTTCGTTTTGTAAGTTGTGGAGATCGCCAAGTCTTTCTCGCACAATTTGCATTTAGACCCCGTTGGAGTCTCTACCTTATCGGCATCGCTCATTGTTTGGCCTTTTTTTTCTGATCTTCAACCAATGAGAAAGATAAGAAACCTAAAATCCTAAAAATATGTTTTTAATTTACAGCTAAATGAACGAGTAAGTTAAAGTTACTAATTATATTCGGCTAAAATCCCTAACATTTAATCATTCCTTCCTTGCTTTTATTTTTTTCTACACCTGCGGTCAATGACCTTAACAAGCGGACCAGCTGATTTGTTTTATTTTCTACGCTCAATTCTTAAAGACACTCAATTTTTAAAATCACTCAAGAGAAACTCGGGTCTAAGTCAGAAATGAGAGGAAAGGAACAAATAAATGAGAGAGTTCAAGTATTAAGTAAGCTTAAAAAAAATTGTAAGAAAAATCAAAAACACGATAGAAATATATAAACAGTTTGCCTTCAAACATAGGAGTTCTCCCTGCCAAACCCTCATCAGCAGTTTAACTCGGAATCCGTGAGTAAAAGAAGATGAAAAAAATAATATAATTGCTGCCTATGCAGAGCTACGTGGCTAGCCCTTCGACTATTGCCAAACTCAGATTCACTAAAACAACAACTATAAGAGAGCTGATCGGTTCTCTTCCAATTCTCTCTTGTTTTGCAATCTGGCCTACGTTTTCCGCTGTCAACCGTGGCCAGTCGACCTCTTTCTAAAGATTTCGGCTGTCTATCCAATGCACCTGACAGACGCGATGGCGATTGCATGAAATTTGATAGATGGGTCCTTAGCGCCGGCCCATTATCCGTGGTCAGGTGAAAACTTATTGATAAGTTTACCACCTGCATGTCCAAGCGTCTAATTAACCCTTGCTTTAGGTCCCGAAAAAAAGTAAATAGAATAGATTTGCCCCACTCTTACTTTCAACATCAGCCGTGGCTAGTTGAACGCTTGCGTACAACATATTCAACTATATGTCCTATGCGCCTAATATCGAAATTAAGGTAAGACTAGAGACGAGATATTTGGCATGAGTACCGCAGCAACCGTGGCTGGGATGTAAACACATCTTTCAACCCACTGTGATACTGCATTACCAACTAGATGAAAATTAAAGTTTTTTTTCTTGTGTGAGCGGGATTCTTAGAGTAAAATTTTGTTTTTCATTTTTTCACATCTTAAACCCTGATTTTCGGCCCCACGTTGGGCGCCAGATAAATAGAATTATATTATTATTACTGTAACGAGTACGTGGCTAGGGTGTTGTTGCCTGACGATAAGGACGCACGCGCGATGGTCCAGCTGCTCCTTGTCGGCTATTTGGGGTGGTGATCTTGTCCTTCGTCACGAGCCAGTAAATTCTAAAATTTTATCGAATTTTCGCGTGCAGCGACAAGTGGTATGGGGTAGGAGAAATCATGTGAATCCGCGCCAGCACGAAGAGGGATAGTTATTTTACTCATGGAATTCCTAAAGTTCCTCGGGTGTTCTAATGGAACCAAATTTGCCCTCCCTGCCTTGGCCGTTCTTTACCAAAAACTTCCCATCATACTATCGAACGGCCCCTTCTACTGATTCGGGTTCTAGCGGGGACTCATCCTAGTCGAAGGCAAACAAAAATACAATTTAGCTAATCATTATAAAGTGTATTTAAAATCTAAATAAAATTCTTAAAATTAGAGAACATATTGAAAAGATATTAAATGAGAACATAAATACATGCAATACAATTGAATTATTAAATTAATCTTTGCAGTAAGATAGCAATACGAATTTAAAATCAAAAAAATATTATTCGAGAGAGAGAATACGGAAATGGCAGAAAATTGCAGTGAAGAGCGCACGGCGAATTCAAATTGAGTGGTTTGTTTTACTTATTTCGAAATTCATCTCACTCAAAAATTCGAGAGACAAGAGAGATGGTAAATCCGCTCCTTTTTTTCCTCTTCTCCTTTATGGACTATTCGAACTGCTAGGTTTTGTACGGTGGGACGCAAAGTAATTCATTTGATATATATATTTTACAAAGACATATTAATAAAACGTGATATCTGACTCACCAACATTCCGGAGATCCACCGACGAAAGCGCTTCCGTAAGTGCACCTTAGGCTGAAAATTTAAATTTCTTTATATACACATTGCAAGCCCACTGTGCAAAACAACAGCAAAATTTTTCTCTTCTTTTTCTTGCTGCAGCTCTTTCCTTCTTTTTTTTTTTTTTTAACACATTGGCTTGTTTGTCCACCCAAAAAAAATTAAAATAAATTATGCCTAAAGCAATTCGTGCTTCTAGTTATTCATTATTAAAGCCTTTCTGGCCTTCTAACCATCACTGCACTTTTCTCTTCTTTCCCTTCTTTTTTTTTCTTACTTTTCCACTCTCACTGCTTATTTCACATAACCTAGACCGCAAAAAAAAAAGGAAAAAAACTTATGAAATAGCTTATAAACTATCCACTTTCAGCGAATTCCGACCGATCTTTGGCTTTCCGAACTGCCTTACATTCCGTGCGGCGACTTAACAATTATTCCGCATTGTTGTTCGACGAGTTAAATTAAATTTTTGTCCGAGCGTGGACCGAAACGTCTAAACTAGATCAGCGCGCCGAAAAACTGCCTGCCAAGCTGAACTTCGCTAAGTTGCGCTCGCAGACGGGAGATAACGAAGATGATGAAGAGGGAATATAAATATTATGTGTAATTTGGGCAGGTGTTACATCTCGAGTTCTTTTTGACTCTTTTGCCCTCTCTTAGTCCTAACTCCGCTCCCAGCGACTTAAGCTGATTAAATAATTATCTTAGGGAACTCTTAGGCTTTGAGACCCCTTTATGCGACGATAATTTCCCTTCTCCGTCGGATGACTTCGCTCTTCTTTAGGGGGGACTTGATGAATTGTTCCCTCTACAGCAACGGCCGGATCCAATATCGGATACTAAGCGCCAAACCTAAATCAAAAATCACTTTTGGGTCTGCAAACTTCGCAACCATTTCATTTTTTCTTACCCATAAACAGGATTCAGCGCTATATATAATCTGGGAATTCTATCCGTCACTTTACACAAGGCCACTATAGAGATATAATTTTCAAACAAACTTTCACCAACTTATTAAATACGAGACTTACAATTGAACTAAACCGCACTCGATGGCTGCCGAAAAGGGAAAGAAAGCCAGCAGCTCGTGGCTCTGGGCGGGAAGCTAAGTTAGCCCCCCTAGAATAACTCTCCGTTTTCCGGGATCATGACAATTGACGCTGTTGCCTCTTCGTCTCCGAAAATTCTTACCCCAATCGCGGCACCCAACTGACCACTAGATGGCGACACTTTCGGTTTTTGCCTCATAGATGGCACTGCCCATCGATGTGCCTGCCACAAGCGTTACACACTTTTGTATAAGGAGGGAATAGTCCAAACAAAGCTTTTTCTATCACTTTCCTGGCTTTAGGCTTAACAACTTTCCTTTAATTTCAACCCTACGGACTTAATGCAATTAAATTCGATACTGAAACTCTGGCTTCTTTGTTTGACATAAAAGATTTATGAATGTCGGATTTATTACTGTGCCAGAGGACTGCAAATTTCCCTCAGTTTCAATTTAACAGACTTAATCCGAGTAAATTCAATATTCAAGAGCTGGCCGATCAGTTTATTGTCCCAACACAATTGGCCTGCTGCCTGTGGCAGGCAAACAGCATACGGCAAACAGCTAACTGCCGCCGAAGTGTGTTGACAAACAACAACTGGCAAGCTCTGCCGACTGCGACGCACCTGTCCATGTCCAGGTGTCTCTGCTGCGCCTTCGATGGCCACTTGGCCACTTCGACTGCGGCTTGTGGACTTCGGCTGCACAGCAAGCCAGGTTCGTCGGGTTGTTTATTTAAATTCTAAGCTCGGCTACTGTGTGTCGGCTGGACAACGCACGAGGGGGGGGAAGGTGGGCCAGGGGTTCGGACCGCTAAAGTTGTCGTTGTCGTTGTCGTTTGCCGTTGTCGTCGCTGCTGGCCAGCGCTGCCGCTGCTCTGCTGGCCGGGAATAAAACTCGATCCGCGTGCGTCTTCTAGCCACAGTTTACCGGTTGCCTTCTGACCGACAGATCGAACACGCCAATCGAGCCCAGTGCATTCAATCAAGTGAACACACAACACAATATCCCGAATATCCCGAATATCCCGAATCGGCAGGAAGTGGCAGGATATTGTATCTGCGAGCCAGTGTCAAAGTGTTTAAGTGCGAAACCCGAAGAGGAAATACCCATCCATCCAGCAGCATGTTTAAGTTTGTGTGCCTGTTTGCGCTGATCGCCTCCACGGCGGCGGCTGCCTCGGAAGCGGATAGCCTGCTGACCAGCGCCCTCAAAATGGTCAAGGATTGCGGCGAGCGCTCCATGGTCCTGTGCATGAAGGTAAAAGAACGCTGAAGTCAGAAGAAAACAAAAAATAATATTGTCAACCCCCCATCCCCTCCCCACTCCCAAAAAAAGGAGCGAGCCCTGCACTATTTTGACACCGAAAACGGAGATGTGCGACTGACTGAGGGCATTGCCCTGGTGAAAACCGATGAGATCCCGGTGGGTCGTTCCCTGAACGACATGCAGCTGCCCGAGGAGGTGGAGGCCAGGGAGGCCGAGGTGGACTCGCTGCTGGTGGAGCGCGTTGCCCGCTTCTTCGGCACCCACACGCTGCAGTTCAAGGTGCCCAAGGACTCCATCCAGGACATGCAGCGCGCCCTCGAGGAATGTGAGTATCTATCGAGACAGCTTTGTCAAGCGATCAGAACTGCCGTTCTGGTCTGGTCTGGTCAAGTCATGGCCAATTTGGGTTAGTAATGCAGGCGACCAGTTCGGGCAGATGGCTCTGGCTTAAATCCTGTTTTCACTGTTAAGTTGCCGCCATATCGAGGTCATCCTGCCATCCAGCCATCCAGCCATCCAGCCATCCAACCATCCCGCCATCCAGCCATCCAGCCACATAGCGGTGCATTGGCAGCTGGTTATCTGGTTATCTGGTTATGTGGTTATCCGGCAGATAGTTGCCTATTAATTGCACTTTAGTCAGCCAGTTAGCGAGGCTTACTTTCTTTTTGTGCGCAGCGCAGCGAGTGCAATTTCCGATTTCTAAACGCAGCCACATAGAAAGCGGTCGATCCTGTTCGCTGGCTAATTATCTGTGCTCCAGTTGCTAATGAGCGGTCAGCTCGGTCCGCTCTAGCGAAAGTAATGCCAATCTCTGCTCCACCCTTTTCCGCAGCTCGTGGCAAGAAGAAGGAGAAGAAGAAGTACCTGATGCCCCTGCTGATGCTCTTCAAGCTGAAGATGGCCGCCCTGCTGCCCCTGGCCATCGGTTTCCTGGCCCTGATCTCCTTCAAGGCCCTGGTCATCGGCAAGATCGCCCTGCTGCTGTCCGGCATCATTGGGCTGAAGAAGCTGCTGGAGTCCAAGAAGGAGAACTACGAGGTGGTGGCGCACCCCCACTACGAGCACGAGCACAGCTACGGACGTTCGCTGCCCGTCGATGACTCGCAAGCCCAACAGCTGGCCTACGCGGCGTATAAGCAATAAGCTGGAAGCTACTTGATTTGCCAAATAATTGAATGCTGAATGCTGAGGCAACCATCAGTGCAATACTCGGAGGGCCGTCTAATTTATTCTATTTATTTAATTTATTTGTATAGCATAGTTCATGCCAGGCTTACACACACTCACACACACACACTCACACATAGTAAGGCGCCATCAAGAGAAATAGAAAACAGAATGTAGAGCTCAGAGCCCACAGCAAATAGGTCTAAGAAACAATCAGCTAGGGGCTGCAGCCGAGGGGCTGACCTGGCGTCGTCGCTTAATCCTAATCTTAAAATGAATGCTAACTTTTGTATTAATACTAAGAGCTTTACTGTTGGCCACTGCCTTAAAACTCTACGCTTACTACCTAAATCAACTCAACCTAAACTAAACTATTAAACTAAACTGCCTAACTCTAAACTACAGCTAGGCGCGGGTAGTAGCCCCCTTGGCCAAGCCCCTCCACACAAATCAATAAAAGCAATGCCGCATTTATCTCGAACCGACGTCTTAAGTGTTTCAATGAAATATCACTCATACGCCGCGAAATGCTTTCACTCTTTCACCGGCCAAAGCGAACGAGGCCAGCGATATCAATTGCATGGGCGACACACAAAATCACGGAGCAAGATCGCCGGATTTCACTTGAGCCAGCCAGGCGTGGAGAAGCCTCCGCCTCGGTCACTCATCGCCTGCACATACTACATACTACTACTAGAGCTACTACTACTACTACTACTACTACTTTATGTAGTATCCGATGTCGCTCCAGAAACTTGCTCACATCTCGGGAAAATCTAATGAAAGTTGCGACCTGCTTTTTTTTTTGCATTCGCAGTGCAACACGTACGCCCCAAACAAATTGGGTGTGTGTGGTGTATGTTGTATGGTGTATGGTGTATGGTGTATGGATGCGGACGTGAACTGGGAGCACGCCCCGCAGCTGCAATTTATGGCCCGACGGCATCGGCATTCGGCATTCGACATATAAATGGCCAAAGCCGACAAAACGCTCAAAATGGCCAAAAGGTCTGCCAGCCACCTCGAATGGCTTTTTTTTCGTTGTTAACTATTTGTAAACAACTGCAGGCAACTGGCCGTGAATTTCAAGTATTGGCGGTGAAAGTGTTTATTAATACAATTTCTTTTTTGTCGCTGCGCTTTGCAATTGAAAATTTATTAGCTGTCGGCCATTGATCGCCACCTTGCAATAAAACGAATGAAACGAAACAAAACTTTTACAAAATTTCAAAAGTTGCCGGCGACAACCGCCGAGATTAATCTATAAATCAAAAGATGAAATTCCCTGAAATTTGTCTAAGCGGAGGGTATGGCTTGGGAAGGAGTCTGAGTTTCCAAAAACTTTATTTGGTCGCTTGTCTGCTCAAGTTACTCAGTGGAGTCGGGAAATTACTAAGTTCGCCAAAGGTCTTGGGGTGTTAAAAAGTCAGAGACTTTCTTAGGGGGGTATTAAAATTTTCCCACCTGCAAAGAGCGCGACTTTACCTTTTCGCTTAAGATATTTCAGTCAAATCTCATGACGTGCTGGCATCACCAAGCCAGAGTTTAAGCTTTTACGAAAACAGCCTAAAAGTTGGCCAAGGTTTTACTCTGCCTCATGCGGATTATGAACAAAGTTTTTATACTCTTTTATATGCTGTAAAAAATGTTATAAAAAAAAATGTTGATATACCAAGATTTAAATTGGATCTTATAGAAACTAAACTATTACAACATTAACATTAACATTTGGTTAATACATAATAATATTTAAAATGCTTCTTTTGAAATGGTTATAAAATAAACAGAAACTTAAAATAAAGATTTAAATTTGTTTAGGCAGTGAGTAAGCCTGGTTGTAGTTTAAAAATTGTATCATAATATGTTTTTTTACACCTACAATTTTTCTATAAAAATGTTTAATTCGTATAATATTATATTTTTTTAATATTATATATTATTCACTAAACACGTTTGTTTTTTATTTATAACATTTTTAAAATCTTCTGAATACCAAGCGTAGGTATTCCCCAAAATAAAAGTAGCTCTTTTCCCCCCTTTTCCGCTTGTTTGTTTTGTTAATTGACTTGCAGATAATTTTCAAGTTTTTCTGGCTAAGCGATGGAACATTTTTGGTAATTCCCTAAGCGTCACCGTTTATTTAATGGACTGGCATTAGCATTGGTAATTGTAGATTTTCCGAGCGGTCCGAACGGTGGCGCCTGTGAGTATTTCATAATTTCTGTGGAATAACAATAACCCCTTGCATAATGGCCGAGATGTGCGAAAAATTGGCCACCAGTCGACGCGGCTTTGGGTCGTGTGCACTGACCATGACCATGCCGGCTTAAATAAGCCAAGAAGCAGATGTAGACGAAGACGAAGACGAAGAGCTGCCACTTGGCGTTGATGTAAAACAATTTCCGTTATTGGGCCATGTGCAAAAAGCAGCGCGTTAACTGAATGGGAGCAGATTTGGCCAAAAGCCCAGTTGATTATTGTATAACAAGATGGGGATGGCGGATATAAAACCCAGGGGTCAGTTGGCCAGCGGGCTCAGTTGAGATCGAAGCACTTGACCAACATGTCGCGACTGTACTTATTTTGGCTCCTGTTCAGTTTCCAGCAAGTGATTGGCAGTGATTTTTCCGGCATGAGTTCGGAGTTCAAGCAGTGTGTTCGTGGTTCGCAGAAACCACAGCTAAGTGAATGTTTGGGCCGATCGGCCCTGAACTTCATCCAGAGACTGGATGATAGCGATAACATCCGATTCGTGGACGATTTAGTGACAGTGAAAAGTGAAACACCCGCAGTT